ATTTCAAATTTTCCTGGGGGAGGTCCAGGCTCCCTTAATACTCCCGCCTTTGGCAGTCGTTTGACCCCCAGATCCAAAATATGTGCCACGGTCCCTGAATGTGCGTACTAGCCAAAACGTCCACGCTACGCGCCTGACATTACAGAGTTCTCAATCATACGGAATATCTTCGGAATTCTGCATGAATACCGCGGGAATACCATTCTTATACCACCGGAATTCCGCAGGAAAACCACCAGAATTCCGCTATTTCTCGGATTTAATCCCGACGGCCTAATAGCGGAATTCAGCCGGAATAATCCACAATTTCCATAAGTTATTTCTACATAATAAAATTATTGTTCAAACGGCTTGAAAATGCCAAAAATGTACTCTAATCTTTTGTTTCAGATAAGTGGAACGGACTTTCCTGCTAGCGTATGCTTTCACATTCATTCTAGATAAGTTGACCTTAGAAGCATCTGCTAAAAGGWAAGCAGGGGAGCTGATCCAGCTAGTGGGCGCAGGGGGTGCGCACCCCCTCCTGAGATCTAATATAATTCAATAATTTCCTTATTTTGTATCTTCATCGTAATGATTTTATTTGAGGGGTGCATCCCTTACTGAGTGCCCGCACCCCTCTCTGAGGAAAATCCTGGATCCGCCCCTGGAAAGGGGGACTTACTTGATACATATAGGCATTATGTCTTTGAATGATTTAGCTTGATTTTTAGCCACAGAGCCTGAGACAAACTTTGCACTAAATTTCTGTAGAATTGTGTTTTCATGCTTGGCATGCAACATAGAATAACCTGCTGCAGTCTATTTCTGGTGAATATCAAAACGTTTCTTTATCATTGTGCAGACAAAATATTAATTTGCCAGGAACTGTCTGYGAGGGAGTATACCAGCTGTGCCCCTTAACAAMACAAAAAGCAGCTATTGTCTGTTGATGAAAACATGCATTGAACTGAGGAAATATGATAAAAATAGTTCTAACAGATTAAATCGCAGCTTGGAWKGATTTTTGTAGTTTATTGAGTAAKTGCTAGTRRRTAGTTGCTACATTCTACTWARTAATCMTGCATGCATTGTSYTTCRTGKTCAGTCTTCATGCAGCCTTCTTCATGTTTAGTGATCTGTCTTTGGTCTTGTTTCCACCCATTTCTTTATGCCAGGTACGTTTCCAACACGTTCAAAGTGAGCTTTTAATTCAGGATGGTCACCCAAAAGATCCTTTACAATATGAACTAAATCCAGACAGTAGAAGACCATGATGTCTGCATAGGTCAACTGGAATAATAGATAAGATAAAAGAAAAATAATTTTAGAAATGACCTGTCAGAATACGAAAGGTGCTAAAAAATGATTGATTTGAAGCAAATCGGCTGTGGGCTAGTAGTAGCGATACAACTTTTTCAATACTACTGCAACATTTTTTTTTGCATATGGAACATTTTTACCCTGATGATTGTTTTAAATAAGGAATCATTGAGGTTACCATTAGCAACCAACTAAAATAACCATTACTCAAAAATCCACTGTGCACTAATGTTAATTCTTTAGTTTTATCCTTGCAAGACTTCTTATTGGTCTTAGCAACTGAGACTAAGGTTCCTGCTAAGATGTCTAATATCTAGTCCCAATACTCCAGTTTTGAGATCTTATTTGTGCAGTCTTAACCTCGAAAGCATGCAATATATTAAAAAAAGGCGCTTAAAAAGCACTTGTGGTTACTCCAAAAACTGCTTGTTATAAATATTTTTAGATTTTAATGTTTTACTATGTGTAGGAAAGAATATTTAAGTAATTTAAGTTGAAGATCTGATATTTTGGGAATTGCTTGTAATGTGTTGCTGTCAGGGCAGACATTCACCTAATTGGAAAAACCTTATAATAGAGAAAGAGCAAATTTAGTATAAGTTTGGA